TCTCTCTCTCTCTCTCTCTCTCTCTCTCTCTCTCTCTCTCTCTCTCTCTCACACTCGCTTACTCACTCACTCACTCACTTACACACACTCTTCTCCGTCGTTACTGCTGCTGCTGTAAGTAATCTTTCACGAGACTCGTCCAACTTCTCGTATAAGAGCTACAACACGCGGAAGACTCGACCGAACTTGCCGGCTGGAGACGGAGCAGCCGAACTTTGACTCGAGTTTCCGTTTCACTTTCGCGCGGTGCGCTGGAATTATATGGCCGCGAAGGCGGCCGAAACTTGCCGCTACTACCGCGGTGTTCCTTCTTGTGCGCCGGAGACACCCAGCTCTTGTTCCGCGATGACGAATTCGCGGGCCGAAGACTCGCATTCGAGAGCATTGTTTCTCTCACGCGCGAATTTTATCTAGATTGATGGTAAGTCGCCGTCGCGAGAAACACTTACATTCTCAACCTTCGGTATTTACGTTCGTTCGTACAATTCGCGGCGCGGCAGTGGAAATTTTTCGCCCCCGTTCCGGTCAGTCACACTCGCGCTTTATCATGGCTTATCCGCCATGTTATCGCGCGAGCCGGAGCTTTCATTCGTAAGACGAGTTATTATCGAACGTTAAATGACATGTTTTCACCCCTTTCCCCCTCCCCTTGCCGCCTCGCGATTTGTTATAATGCAACTCATCGAGCATTCCATTAAACGCGGGAGATGGAATCGCTCGAGTCGCGCGCGACGCAGCTGAGCGCGATTAATAAACTCCGATATTACCTTCGACCTTTGAGCGACGTCGATTGACTGACTCCTCATCGGGTGTCAGTTTAAGACTGCTCTAATGAACGCTAGCGCAGAGAGTCTGTTCGCGTCCCCGTCAGCGAGGACTCGAGATAAAGAAACGCGAGACACACGGCAGAAAGGAATTAATCGATCGACCCTCCACCCTCTTCCAGCGAGGGGAAGGAGATCATCGTGTGCGCGCGCACACAGTCGCTTCGGAAGTTGGCGCACTTCTGTTACATCGGGTAGGAAGAGTGCGCGAGGTGGAATTGTTTCCAAGTAATTAAACTACCGGAAAACTTTTACCGTTAAAACTTTTCTCCCGCTTCGGCGGCGGGCTTGTAAGTCGTTTACGTGCGGCGAAAACTTTCAGACGGCGGTCAGGTTCAGATGTGTCTCACCTTTCAGGTCCGCTCTCTGCCACCACCCGCGTGACTCGGTCGATCTCGAACAAGACGAATTACCTTTTGGCGATTCGCTCGCTCGCACGCGTGCGCGTGTTGAGAGTCTGGTCGCTCCCTCGCGTTTGAATATCACGAACGTCCGACTCGTTAGATCTCCCCCGGCCAAACAGTTGACGCGAGACGAGCGTCTACTTGGAGGACGGAGGTGTTTGAACAGAGGATTAAATAACTTTCTAAATTACCCGGGCCATTAAAAATTACCACAGCTCCGTCCATCTTCCGCTTGTGATCCGCTACGAAATTCCCCTCTCGCCCTCCCCATCTTTCAGTTCGTGGCGACACTCGACTATGTCGATACGTGGACGTCGCGAATGAGCAAGTGGCCCTTGTCTGGAAGACAAAACGCTGTCTCGTGCGAAACATCGACCAACAAGGCGGTTAGCGATGACGACGCTGTCTCTTCGAATTCCCTCCACACGGTGATAAATTGATTCTCACTTTAACGATTTCCCTCGAGGACAGAGATGGAAATTATATTAAGACACGACTTGCCCGCGCGTTAAGGAAACGATGCGAGTGCTCAAGCACAATCGTCCAAAATATTCGTGATTAAAACACGAGTCTTACACTGAGAGAAAAAATATCTGAGAAATAACAACACATTTATTCTCGGGGTAGATCTACTAATTACATATTTACTTGAATTTAAATTCGTTGATTTAATTAGTTGATTCATAAAAAGAGCTGTCGGAACGATCTTTCTCTCTCGCAACCCCCGAGTCGAAATTTCGGTCCTATATTAAGGTCCTATATAAGGTAATAATTTCGGTCCTAATTTAGCAAAGTAGATGCAAAATAATAGCAAAATAGATGCTGAATGGAATAGTGGAATTGAAAGCAGAATCAAAATTTCAACTCGGGTAGGTTAAATAGAATCAAAAGAGATTAATGTAGATTTCAGAACATCAAAATAGGTGTTGAATGGAATAGTAAAGCTGAAAGTAGGATCCAAATTTTGACTCGGGCCGGTTACAGATCTTTACTTCTGGCCGCGTATCAGCGCCTTGGGAAAAGGAGAAAGTCGACGGTTAAGTGTAAAAAGGGAAAAAGGAGGGAACAGGGAGAAGAAACGGCGCGCGTGGAGGAGGAGGAGGCGATGGTGATAGCGGAGGGCCGAATTCGCTTCGAGTTGCGAGAGTCGTGCGAGTGTGCTGACCCTGAACTATAAATGCAACGGGTTCTTTCTCCTCGCTGCATCGCGCCGCATATACCTCCTCGCGCTCACGTGCACGCGTGCACTTGCGCGCAACGTTCTCCCAAGACGTCTGGGCTTTCGCTTTGCTCTCGTTGCATCGTCGTTAGCCATGGGCGTCGTGTGCAACCGCGTCCCTCCGCATTCTACCTTCTCTGTATCGCGGCGAACTTATGTATCCGCGGCTCGGACGACGGTGAATCTGCTCACACGAATGTCACTTCGGCTCGAAATCAGTTTGATCTGAAGACACATCTCGAGAGATCTTGCGGCCTTGCGAACGCGACGCGGATACCTCAGACCTTCCGCGGAAAGTAAAACAAATCGGAACGAAGTGTGTACACCCAAAGATATGTACAATATCGTCCTAGCAGAACTCCTCTTACGTTATGACCTCAAAAGTATTTTTCTAGGAGCAAAAGAATATTCTAACACTTAAGAAAAGAATTCTAATTGCAAAGTGCTATTTTCTGCGGTCCCATATTTCAAGCGAAAACTTTTATCGAAAGATTATCTTCTAACGAAATCCTCTTCTAACGAAGAGGGATAATGTGGTACATCTTTAAAGACAGAATATTTTTCTCTGAAAGTCATATGTAACACACTGAAAGAAAAAAATATTTAAGAGAAGTAAAAAATATTTGGTGGGTACTGATAGTACATTTACTCATGCTAATATGAAATATTTTCAAGTAAGAAACATATACTTTCTTGAAACCTCAGCTGTTCACGAAAGCAATCGAATGAAAGAATTCAGATTCAAAGTAAACATGTTATTTCTCGGATATTTTTACTTTCAGTGTGAGAGGACTGCTAAGGATGAGATTATATTTTGCCGGGTGTAGTTTTAATTACGGACGATTGCGAATATTTGCGTCGTTCCTGAACGCGCACGAGCGAGTCGTATCTTGTTACAATTTCTACCTACCTCCTCGAGGGAGATCCTGGCGACGCCGATGGCCGTTGGCAGCCGTTGCCTCCTGCCGGAGGCATCACTGCCGGTTTGGCGACCCACGTCGGTAGCGCGCGTGCACACGATCATCAGAGAACGTTGGAGCATGGCCAAGCCGAGGCGCCAACATATTCCCGTTCTGTCTAACGGTCTTTAGCCAAGCGCGACGCCGCGGCATTGTATCGTCGGCCTCCCTTCGCGCGAACCTCGCGAGAAGGAAGAACGCTGGAGTCTTGGTCGCGCTCGCGAAAGGCGCTCCTTCATCTCGGGATGGGGGAAACGTTGTCTCCTCATCTTATCTCGGAAAGTAATTCCATTCATCCGTACAGAGCGGAGTACGGGTGATCGTCTTAGCGGCTTAATCGCTCCCCACTTGAACTTGGAAAATAATTATGAGAGCATCTTTAAAGATGTACGCGAGTTACTAAAACTAACTCCGCTCTCTCTGATCCTAATTGAATTTCTAAGAGAGAGAAAGAGGGGAGGAGGGGAGTGAGGGAGAGGAAGAGAGAGAAGCTCTGGATGAACTTTCAATAAAACTCCTCCAATAAGATTTCGATTACATTTTGGGGACACTCGGATTAAAAATTATTACAAAAAATCACGGAGGAATGCTTCCGGAACTTAAGTAATTCAGGGTCTAATTAGTGAGAGACGATATCAGCAGCAATGCGATCAGTTATCCGTTTCCACTGGAATTTTAC